TTATAGACCTGGTTGTGCAAATTAAAAGCTGCCTTGCCAAAAATGCCTACAGGATGAACAGTATTTTCCATAATCTGCCTCAAATGAACAATTATTTTATAAACATTTGCTGTCATAGGCAGTCATTCATAGTTCTCAGCTAGTTTTTGTTCCTGCTGCATTTCTTCCATTTGGYATTTATATTTTGGCAAAAAAGCGGCTTTTGCTTTTTTAATATCATTAATAAGTTGAATCAATATTAGTCTTATTTAGTTTCGCCTTAAAAAAAATCTAAATTACTATTTCTTGGTTATAGTTGCACTGCAGTGCAGCAGCTTGAGTGTATATAAATATATGTAGCATACTTTGSAGCACTCGGATGTCAATGTGATGTGCACAGCGTCTGTCCTTGGGCGTTGCCGTTGCCTCCTGCTGCTGCTGCTTTTACTGCTGCTGCCGGTAAGTGCAAGAACAGCACCTGCGCTCAATGCCTTGCTGCCATTGTCCAGGCCGAGCACTTGGCAAAGTGAATTCCGCATTCGCATTTTTGTTTACACAGCCCGCAAGAAACTACTCAAACAAAATGCTCAAGTGCCTGCTCTCAATAATGATGCCAGCCAAGCGGCATAAGAATGGGACACGCCGAAGGACGCCTCACTTGCAATTGCAGTTGAAAATACTAAAGTTTTGAATATCTAAAATATTGCTGTAATGTCCAAGTTGGCGAGATGCAGAGATGCAGAGATGCACACGCCCCGATGCTTGATGCCGTTGATGCTGTTCGCTGGTTTTTCTGGGGCTTTGTGTGCCTTGCATAGACTTCACGGGGCACTCTAATTTGACAAAGGTTAGGAAGCGGCCGGCCGTTGGCAAGTCGATAAAAGTCGTCACCTTCGCTGACAAAGCGTTGTCCTTCATTCGGGATGCCGCCTCTGGTGTGCCACCGCCGTCCACTATGCAGTCGACAGATATCGTTTACCTAACGCCACTTTGTTGGCCCAACAACAACTGTCAACGGCTGCCCAGCTGCCCAGCTGCCTGGCAGCCTGGCTGCTTGGCTAACAAGCGAAAGCCGGAGCCTCTGCTTGTCTTTCATGTTCTGCATAGGGTCCTGTCAAGCTGAGAGCTTTCACTCTGCCTTCACTCTGCTCCCACGCTGCTGGGGCAACTTTTTGAGCAATTACAAACATTTGTTAACAAGCGCATAATATACGTATAGAGATATATATTTTATGGCTTATACTCTTCAACGGCGTCGTCCTTCATTATCAACGACAAAGTTATGCTTAAAAATTGAATTTGATGCAGTTTGCTTAAGTTTCCTTGCGGGACTTGGACAAAGTTCGCTGCACAAACTTTGCCACCGACCGGGCTGCCCTGCGCCACTCCGAGCATCCCCCGCAGTGCGCTGCGATTCCACTTGAGCTGGGTCATAAAAAACGTTGCTCTACAGCGAGCTACTCATTAGTTGTCCCACACTGACACTAGCCCCAGCTCCTGCTCCACACCCAATCCCATCCCCATCCCCATCCCCATCCCTTGGCCAGCTGTGCTCCATTCCTTTATCTATTTGATTAATCGCGGCATTAATAATACTAAGTTGTTAGTCACTTAAAGTTCGTTTAGCTTTGTTAGCCAGACAACTTATTTACCCAGTGCAATTAGAGCTGACGCTATTTTCCACCGACTGCTCAACTGCTCACAAAGTGTGTCAGTGTTGTTGACAACGCAAATCGAATCGAACGTGGCAATCGATGTAATGACTTCATTCATAATTGAGTTTCTACCTTTACCTCTGGTCGCTCATTCACGTTACATGCTAATCGAAAAATCAAGCAAATCAAGACTCGATTTTTCACCCTTTACTCCATACTCTCTGCTCCTTTTACTTTCTACTTGTCTGCATTCTCTATTCTCTATTCTCTATTTTCGATGAATTTGCTTTGCTTTGAGTGCGTGTCAGCAGTGGACAGCGCACAGGAACGAATTCGAGACTTGAATCCTAAAAAAACTTATGTCAATTACCTTCCTACATACTCATCACTACTCTCTATAATCTGTAGTTCCTTGCCAGTATTGCATACTACATATATGGGCTCTACAGCCCCTTCTACTCTCTATTCTATTGTCTCTTCTCACTATTCCATACTAGTGAGTAGTCCCTTCTCAGCAGTCCCTTCTCAGTATTCCATATTTTATACTTTCTAATCTATAGTCCCTTCTATTCCATRCTCTACTTCTTCTTCTTACTATTCCATAATCTACACCTTCCCTTCTTAGTGCTCCATATCTTCTATTCCATACACTATACTCTCCTTTCTCAGTGTTTCATGTCTTCTATCTACTATCTTCTCTCGATAGCCTGCAAGTATTTATTTCCACTCTGAGAATAGACTCTGAGGGCTACCGATTGCATCGGCTCTTCAACAAGCTCGGTCGCGATCGGTTTCTTTCTTGCGCTCTGGTTCTTTCTTTTCCTGTATGTATGGGTATTGAAAGGAAGGCTGTGTTCGCTAAATACATCGATTGCGTACGTGTGTGCGTGCGTATGTGAATGGGGAGATCATTTGAGTCGCATTATGCGAACGTCCATCGTGTCTCTGGCTAAACGATGTTCGTGAAAAAAGCGTCACACGAATAGGAAACAGAAGGAAACAAAGTCTTTT